ACGTTAAGCGAACATAACAAATAAAAGTAACCCAATCAGGTTGGTTTCGAGTTGAATTAAACATATAGTAAGTTAAATAGTAAATTAAGAGTAAATTAATGGAAAATTAATAGTAAATTAATAGCAAATTAATAGCGATAGTAAAAACCATACGAATCATGGTTAGACCATGGTAAATCATAATGAAAAGCTAGTAAATATATAAATCCACATGAATAAAAAATCCAAAGAATTGGGGGGGAGGGGGGTAGATCACACCAGAGAAATTAATGATGAGCACATTCAACAAACCAAAAAATGAGAAGAGGCTTTTTGTCAACGAAAAGTAAATATTGAATAGGAAACAATCGATAGATCGTTTGTTCGAGGGGCGTAAAAGTGGCACCAATATAGTAAGGTACAAACAAAAAAAACAGCAAAAATATTATTGGACGAATTTGTGGCGGTAATACGAAGATATAAAAAGGGAAATAAGCAATCGGAGAGGATAAAAAGCAAACACGAGGAACCAAAAACAACAAAATCACGATATTTTATGAAAATATATGAAATTTTTTGATATTTTTGTAATACTGGTAGGGTATTATTAGACACAAATAAGTAAAACCATTTTGAATTATTGTATATGGGCCACGATAGGCACGTGGAATGATCATTTAACATAACTTTGGAAGATTTTGATGAGCAAGAGGAGTACTTTTTTTAGAAAGATGGGAATCACCTTATCCGGAAGTAACCGAAACAGGAATAGAGAAATGATAGGTTGGGGAAATAGATGGAGTAAATAGAGTACGTAAATAGAGTACGTAAATAGATTGGGTAAACGTAGTACAAAAATCGAGCAGCCAAACTTTATAAAACTTTAAGAACATATATACAGTAAAATGTAACAGTAAAGATAAATTATATAAATTAAATAAAATTAATAAATAAATATATATATAGTATATTCATAACGATAAAGTTTATTATCATATGTTTATCTAATGAAGTAATCAATCGAGATCAGAGTTAGAGTGACCAAGTACTACCAAGTACTACCAAGATTTTCAAACAAAGAAAAAAGTAATGTAATTGTAAAAAGACATGATTAATACAGGATAAATTCGGCGAGAAAGAAATAGCTTATGTAAAATAACTTTATTAACAGTAAACAAATGACATAAAAAATGCTGCGGAAGCATTAACACAAATATCTCATGACGAACAGGGACGGAAACGGACGAATACGAGCGAACACGGATGAATACGAAAGAGGACAAATAAGAACAAATAAGAACGGATGAACGGATGTGAACGGTATACAGCAAGGTTACAAGGTATAAATGTAGTATAAATGTAGTATAAATGTGTATAAATAGTATAAAAGTAGTATAAAAGTAGTATAAATGTATTATAAATAGTATAAAAGTAGTATAAGAGTAGTATAAGTAGTATAAAAGTAGTATAAATGTATTAATATTAAATTATAGCATATATAAACGAAATTCTAATACGGATACAGTAGAAATTAAATTAATACAGTATAACAGTTAAGACGAGATACAAGAAAATACCAGATAGAAAATTTTAAATAATTTGTAAAGCGAGATTTTATTTACTGTATGATTTTGTAATAACGCAGGAATCATTTGTTTGTTTTTTTACTATTTTTTGACATATCAAAATTGGAAAGAGTTATTATGCTATAGAATGGTTTATATTTTGTATAAATAGCCGAAGAAGTGGTTTAAGCATTTGGATTAACTAATAGTTTAAGTTAATTTGCAGTATTTATAAAAGTTTTTTATAAAACTGCAAAAGGATTAAAAAGGGATAAAAGAAAGAATTAGTGCAGAGCTTATTAAAAGGATTAACGTTTTTCAGACGATATTTGGACATACTTAAAAGAATCAAACAAATAATGGTAGCAAATGTAAATCCTACACAGTGAAAGCAGGGATTAAACGTAAAATTTAAACCATCAAATTGCATCGATACGAAAAATACTAAAAATTAACTAAAAATTAACTAAAAATTAACTAAAAATTAACTAAAAATTAACTAAAAATTAACTAAAAATTACTACAAATTACTACAAATTACTACAAATTACTAAAATTTAGAGATAATTATATATGTATAAATTAGCGTTATGTAAAGGAAGACGGTTTATATGTAACATAAATAAGGTGAAAGCAAAATAAGATTAACAGATATATATATAAAACTAAGTATTAGGTAATTCGATATACAGTATTAAAATATTAATAAGTATATATATGAAAATATATGAAAATTAAAATGTAACGTAATACCTATCACTATAATGTCCTATAATTTTCTATCATATAACCTATAATATAATACAACCTATAAAATAATAATAGTAACAATAATTAGTAAAATTAAGCGGACATACTTTTTGAAAAAGTTTATCAGATCCTGCAACCTTATATTTTCTCGATCAATATTTATATCAGCTTACACAAATAATCAATAGGAAAATCATTCTTACACCTCTAACGTTATTCATAATCGATACAAAAATGTTCCACATCATATACGTCTTGTCGCATGTCAAAAACACTGATGATACTTTTTTCAGATTATGTTACGGCAACGCAGCAATCCAATTGCATCATCTCCAATTGAATCATTTTATTCCTGAATGCCAATACCTTGTGACTTTCTATCTTGCTGTTTATCTTGCTGTTTATCTTGCTGTCTATCTTGCTGTTGTGCTATTATTATTCCTTTATTTATGTATGGGATTTATGTATGGTTATTTGCATCTTAGCTTACATTTACATTACATTTCAGCAACATTTACATTTACGTTTACACTTACATTCTCTTTACATTCACATTACATTTCAGCAATGGTAATGGTTAATTTTTCCCGCCAATTTACCAATTTACCTTTTTTTTTTCTATAATTACTGCAATTATCGTTATTCCAGCAATTACTCACATCGATTACTACAATTATATAGATTACTGTAATTACGGCAATCACGCAGTAAATTGTATAATTTTGTATAATTTGTATAAATTATGTAAATTATGTAAATTGTGAAATATATTATGTAAATTATATGTAAATTATATGTAAATTATATGTAAATTATGTATGTAAATTATATATAAATTATGTATGTAAATTATATATAAATTATGTATGTAGATTATATATAAATTATGTATGTAGATTATGTAAATTATGTATAAATTGTATAATAAATTGTATAATAAATTACGGATATATTGAACTCCGTTTATGTTGCTTTATGTTGGCAACACAAGAAAGTTCCAATGTTGCACATCAGATTTTAAAACTTTAATTTTACCATATATAGTTTTCTTGCAAGACCAAAAGAGTAAACTGTAACGGCCTTTATATGCTTTTATTGTCTCCTCCTACATCATCCGACATTTACACATAAGGCAACAACCGCTCCGCCCAATCTCTTTTATCTCTCATTGGATCTTATGTTGGTCGCACCGCCCTGTTCGTGTTATCAGTAATGCATTCGTGTAATCACTCCACTATTTTTGATTAAGTCAAGTAAATTAATCATCTTTTGCCCATCATCAACAAAGAAAACGTAATGCGTACCAACACTTTCCATAATTCTGCCCACCCGTTTTTTATACATGTTACTCTAAATGTTGATGACTCGTTGATGACTCATTATTTATGAACCTTTTTTACAATACATGTACTAAATGATACTAAATAATAGTAAATAATAGTAAATGATAGGTTGATAGGTTGATAGTATATTGATCAAGTTTCGCAAGTTTTGATTGTTTTGGAAGACGCATCATCAGGCATGCGTTATCCAACACAAAAACCATACAAACGCCCCTTGTGTAATTTAAAATGAGTTGTACTCTCACCCCTTTATTTTTTTTTTTTTATTGTGCGGCAACCATCTCAAACACATATAATAACACCAATTTCAACTTCTTTCTCAAATTCTACAGTACTTGTATTTTTCAAAAAAAAAATAAAAAAAAAAATAAAAAATAAAAAATAAAATACAGTACAAGTAACATCCATATTATCATTTTTATTTAGTCCGGTTAGTATTCGGTATTTTTTTTTTTTTTGTTACGATCACTTTTTATTACTTTTTATTACTTTTTATTACTTTTTATTACTTTTTATTACTTTTTATTACTTTTTATTACTTTTTTTTTTTTTTTTTTTTATTGAATAGTTTGTAATGTTCATTCAATACTACTTTGTCTCTTCACTGTCTATCAACATTATTAAATCTTATTATATCGTTTCTTTTTATAAAAAAAAAAAATCAGTTATTATTGAAAAAAAAAATCCTATTTTTTTGGTGCGATATACAAATAACTCTCAGTTTTATCCTTTTCTAACGTTGTAGGTATATTTATATATACTATTTGTTACTAATTACAAACTCTATTATTTATTAATTTTATTAATAAATACTTTCTCTCTTATATAGCTTTTTACTATTACGGTACTTTAATATTATTTGATATAATAATAATAATAAAAAAAAGTACAACTGTAACAAGTTTTAATTACGTACTTCGAAACGAAAAATATATTCTAACGAACTCCGACCTTACTCGGCACGTTTTCTAAACACGTCAACAAATTAGGTCCGTTGTAGTATTTAGTATCTGATAGATTAACCTGTGTTAAGAAGTATTAAAGAAGTGTAAAGAAAAAGAAGTGTAAAGAAGTATTAAGAAAGTTTAGAAGTATTAAAAAAAAAAAACGGTTTAAGGCGAACAAAGAGAAAAGCTCGCACGAGAAAAAAAAACACGCTGGGAAAATTGTTTTAAATTCTTTTTGATCTTTTGATTTACACGTGGAGAACTGTTAAAGGTTAGTGATTACAGTTACAATTTACTTTTATGAAAGGTTTCTTTTATTAAAGTTTTTTTTTAAAAATAAATTTAAATTAACTTTATAGTAACTCCTGAATTTAACGCATCGTTGAAAAAACAAAAAAAAAAAAAAGTACATAATAATGTATAATAATCGATATCCATCAAATCAACCACAAAACACCCAAAGAAACAGTTATACCCCATATGGTCAAACTTTTCAACCAGTCCCTCAAGCACAGCAGACTCCTGCTGTGCTTCATGCTGGTCTACCGACTCATGGTGCTGCTGCTTCACAATTCAATGCTTTCACTCCAAATTATGGTTCCAGATTTAGCAATGAGCTACGTGCTGCCAGTTATGGTACTCACATAAGCCCTCATCAGTCACAGATACAGCAAACTACACAACAGCAACATTTATCATGGCAGAATAAAAACAATTGGAGTGCTGATCTTGGTACATCTGGTGGTACAAATTCCCAGGCAAGTCACGGAGGTAATATGTTGACGAGTAGTTTGTACGGAACTGGTGGTGCTAGCGGAAGTAATGCAAATTCTGGTTTATACGGTGCTACTCAGCAACAACAACAAACGCAGCAAGCCCAACACCAGCAGCAACGAAGGTTGCCACAACAAGCTATTCGAATAAGTGGTGATGATCATACTTACCAAAGTCATTCCGCAATAGGTATTTCATTCATTCCATTCCATTTAATTTATTCATTCATTCATTCTCCATTTCATTTCATTTCATTCCATTCATTCATTCATTTCATTCACTTAATTTCATTTCATTAATTCATTCACTTAATTTAATTCATTCACTTCATTTCACTCATTTATATAGCAGGTGGTCATAATCAACAACCTTCAATGGCTTCTTTATCAGCATTTCATACTTCTCCAACCCCTGCTCCTCAGCAACCTCACAATACCACTCATAACAATAGCATGCTTTCTCTCCCAAATCCAAATTCTTCTTCATCTGTCGCATCTTCATTGATGCGTCAACAAACCTTATATCCAATGGACACTAGTAATAATATTGGTTTAGGAAATATGTCTTCGATCGCTGGCATGGGTGGTTCTTTAGGTGTTGGTAGTTTTTCAAGGCATACAATGACTTCTAATGATGCTACTAATTTGGGTCATTTTGCTGTGGTAGATGATCCTGTAAGTATGGATCTTTTTATATGAATGTTTATATATATATATATATATTTATATATATATATTTATTTATTTATAATTTAATTTCAATTTAATTTCAATTTAATTTCAATTTAATTTCAATTTAATTTCAATTTAATTTCAATTTAATTTCAATTATTTCTATTTATTTCTATTTATTTATTTAGCAAGCTGATCTTGATACAGATTCTCTAATGGATAATCAGATAGTAACAACCACTACATTGGCTTCAAATGCAACATCCACTCAACCTTCAATATCTCCAACCAATCAACAAAATTATGTGAATAGTGGCATCAATCGTTATCCTCAAACTCAAGCTCAGCAACAGCATCAACAAACTCGACAACCACAAAATCGTTATTATACTCCAAATTCTTCGCCTAGTACTTCTATTAATAGTATCACTAATTCGGCTGCTGCTCATTCAACCGTTTCTCCTTCCGTGAACGGTTCAATCACTCCTAAACGTCAGTCGACTGATACTAATCTCTATGGCACGAGTAGTATTTCTGGAATGGCTGCTCAACATGCTCAACCAAGAAATGCTACTATATATAATAATAGCCTTAATAGTAATTATATGATGAATAGTCAGCATGGTCAGCAACAACAGCAATCTTATACCGCTCAACAACAACAACAGCAACAACAATCTCATGTTACTCCACAACAACAACAACAATCTTATGCTACTCAACAACAACAAACTGCTCAACAACGTTATAATTCTACTGATAGTTTCATTTCTCCAAATGTTGTCAGTAATATAAGTACCGGTTATTCATCTCAGCAAACTACCTCCTCTAATGTTCAGCAACCTCAACAACAATTTCAACATCAACAACTTCAACAGCAACAATTACAGCAAAGTCAGGGTCATCAACAAGCGAGCCGGAGTCCTTATCATACTTCTCCTAATATTACCGCTCAACAGCAGCAATCATTACATAATAGGTCTTCTATTAGTCAAAATCAATCTTCTATTAAATCTTCTCCACTAATAACGAAACCTGCAAATCAAAAAACTATGGTACAATCTGGTGTATCTGCTCAACAAGTTTTGCCTCCTCAACAGTTGCATTCGCAACAACAATCTCAAATTCAACAACAATCTCAATTGCATCAACAATCGCAGCAATTGCATCAACAATCGCAATTACATCAACAGCATTCTCAATTACAACATAAACAACAGCAGCAGCAACAACAACAATTGCAACATCCACAACCGTTGCATCATCAACAGTCACAACAATCTCAACCACAACAATCTCAACAGTTGCATCAACAGCATTCTCAATCGATGCAGCAGCAACAGCAGCAGCATCATTCTCAACAGCAACAACAATCTTCTTCGTCGCAATCTTCTGATCCTCCTCAGATGCAACCTTCTCAAAATAAATCTACTCCAAAACAAATGGTGCGTACTAATATGATTGCTGGTGGTAATGCTCCATCACAACAACAACAACCTTCAAGTTTTCCTCAGACTAATGTTGCTGCTCAGGCAAAACCTTCAAAGAATGCTCCTGCGAATACTACTCCTACTCCTGTACCAAAGGCAAATACTTTACCTGCTCAAGATGTAAAAAATCCAGATGTTTCTTCTGGTATTTCTTCTACAAAAGATCAAAAACCAAAAAGACCTATGAATGCGTTCATCATTTTCTCTAGTGAACGTCGACCGGAATTACAAAAGAATGATCCTAATATGCAAACTGCTCAAGTTAGCAAAATTTTAGGTGAAGAATGGCAAAACATGGATAGCGTATGTATTAATAAAAAGAGAGTGATATATATATATATATACATATACCTCACATATATATATATATATATATATATCTCACTCTCTCCTTTTATTTTTTTTATTTATTCATTCATTTATTTATTTTATTTTATTTGAATTCTAAATAGGCTCGAAAAGATCACTATAATGAAAGAGCTCGGCAATTAAAAGAGGAATTTAAACAATCAAATCCTGATTTTGTATATACACGTCGTGGGACTACTGCTGCTTCAAAAAAGAGGGGGTCAACTTCATCTGCAACTCCATCTGTTAAATCGCCTACAGATACAATAGCTGTTCCACCTCAGGCTACTAATGTGCCAATAGTAAGTCATTAGTTATTATATTTCATTCGTTCAATCAAATGATATTTTCATATACAATTACTCATTTTCTTTCTCAATTAAAATTAAATTTTATTTTTTAGTCTAATGGTTCAGTTAACGGAGTAACCCAACATAATTCAAATAATGTATATTCTTCTCCACATCAACATACACCTACGCCTTCCTCAACCCCTACTCAACAACCAAGAAGTACTCCGGCTACTGCAACTTCACAGGTATATTATCGTATTACAATATCAATTTAGTTACTTTCCTTGTGATTCAATTATTTAATCGGTTATTTCTATCTAAAATTTCTATCTAAAATAGACTCAATCCACTACACAGCAACCTCAGCTACGGACTCCTCAAACTATTGGAACTACTTCAACTACACCCATCTCATCTGCTAGAAGAGATCGTAAATTGAGGAGACCTATGAATGCATTTCTAATATTTAATAAAGAAATGCGACCAAAAGTTTTAGAAATGAATCCTAATATGAGTGTTGCGGAGATTTCAAAAACAATCGGAGAGAATTGGCGTAATATGTCTGAGGTAAATCCTTTCATATTGTCATTTTAATATTTTAATATATAGCTTGTTTATATATATATATATATATATATATATATTATTTTATTTATTTATTGATTTATTTATTTTTATTCTTATTAGGATGAAAGAGAGAGATACCTTCAGAAAGCTCGTGATTTAAAGAGTGAATTCCATGAATCACACCCTGATTTTGTTTACACTCGTAGATCAAAGGCTGAGCTTATTGCTGCTGTTGAAGTTGTTGATGTTGAAATTGTTGTTGAGGTTGCTGAACATTAGAGGAGGTAGTTTGCTGAG